ACGTCTATTCAACATGTTACTGTTGCCATCTGCCCTGCTCCATGTGGGTCAGGGACTATAAACTCAAATGTCTATAAGAGCTATAAATGAATAAATCCGAGTGTTAATGTCCTGTTGCTGCTCTAACAAATTATCACAAACTTAGTGGGTTAAAACAACACAAATTTATTATGTTACAGTTCTGGAAATCAGAAGCTTGAAATGTGTCTCACTGGGCTAAAATCAAGGTGTCAGCAGAGATGTAGTTCTTTTAGAGACACTAGAGGGAAGCTGTTCCCTTTCCTTTTCAGCTGCTCCCATTTTTGGGCTGTGGCTGCATCATTCCAGCCTCTGCTTCCACCCCCACATCTCTGTCTCTGACTCTTGTTTCCCTTTGACTTTTGTGATTACATTGGATTTACCCATAATCCAGAATAATCTCCCCACCTCAAGATAACTAACTGCAAAGTCTCCTTTTGCCATGTGAGGTATTATCTTCATGTGTACAAGGGATTAGGATAGAGGTATCTTTAGGAAACATTATTCTGCCTACTGTAATCAGTGAACCTGGTATGAAGCAATAGGGTGCGTTGGGGTCTGTGGCAAACTGAAAAGTAAAGGCCCTGTCTAAAGGTGCCACATGTATCTTTAGCTGACTAACTGTCCCTTATGGGCATGCAGACGTAGCTAGGTCTTGCAAATTTTCAAGAGAAACTAGAAGTGTAAAATTTTAATGTGAAACAGAATAATTAAACTGAACTGGGTTTGTTTGCCCTCATGCAATGGAAAGCCAAACACTGATGTACTGAATTTTTGAAACATGAAGGTTTAACATCAAGTGACAAAAAAAGGGAGTTAGGAATCAGGCTCAAATCAGTCCCCTGAGCTGGAGGTTAGGGCAGATTTTATGATGTGGGGGGGCGGGTAAGGATGAGATATGATCTGATTGGATTTTGCAATGGGGAGATGCCAAAGTGCGATCTGATTGGATCCTGGATCCTACCATGCAGCATCCTCTTTCTAACTCAGTACCCACTCCTCAGTCCCCGCAAGCACTTAGGTCCCACCTGTGGTTGCACACTTGGTTCACCCGGGCATGCTCAAGTTATTTGACCTTCATTTGGGGGGAAAGGAGGAATGGCAACTGAAAGCAATTCACAACTTTATAACAAAAAAGTGGAACCAGATTGTTATGATGTGGTTAAAATAGCTGAATTTTTTTTTCTTTCTTTTTTTTGAGATAGAGCCTCAAGCTGTTGCCCTGGGTAGAGTGCTGTGGTCTCATAGCTCACAGCAACCTCCAACTCCTGGGCTCAAGCAATTCTCTTGCCTTCGCCTCCCAAGTAGCTGGGACTACAGGCGCCTGCCACAATGCCTGGCTATTTTTTGGTTGTAGCTGTCATTGTTGTTTGGTGGGCCGGGCTGGATTTGAACCCGCCAGCTCAGGTGTATGTGGCTGGCGCCTTAGCTGCTTGAGCCACAGGCACTAAGCCAAAATAGCTGAATTTTTAAGCATTAGAAAGCATAAAGGGGGTGGGGAGGGACCCACAATCTCTTCTGGGGCCAGAGAATGTGTGCTGGCTTGAGAGTAGAGCTGCCAATTTGTGGCTTCTGATCCAGAGCTTCCTCAGTAGGGCAATTGAGGTAGTGTTGATTTATTTTGTGCTGCTTGTCACTGTGCCAGTGGGAAAGTGGCAGGCAGGTATGAAGCGAAGGCCCCCCTCAAGGCCCCAGGGAGGGGTAGATGTATTCCTCCTATTTACCACCCACATTCTTCCTTTGTAATTTCATCCCTTGACCTCTACCTAAACCCCTCCCCAGCCCCATCTCCAGGATGGAGCCCCCAAGGCCCTGCCTTCCATTGCTGCTTAGGTCATTTGCATATGGCTTTTCTCCTTGATCTTAACATGAGGGGAAGAGCCATGACCAGGGCAGTGCAGTCATAGCCGGGCCTTCTGCTCTGCTAGGACAAACTCACAGATGCCATTGCCATGTGTAAATGCCGCAGCAACCTTCTCCTTCTTTTCTCACCCTTTTCCTCCTCCTCATCTCATCTCAGCTGGGCAGATATATTGATAACATCATGAAACTTAGAAGTAGGAAGAGATTTAATATAAGAAATTAAAGCCTTATATACATCCTGGAAGCCTGGGAAGTCAAGGGCAGGAAGCCATTTTCAAGAAATCTGGGAATATTGGGATTATGGAGAGGTTACTACCAGTGTTCTCTGCTGCCTAGAGCCTTGAACTGGAAGCTTCTCAGGGGCCCCTCAAAGCCATGGGTAGAAACCCACATCTCCAGATGCCCATGCACCAGCTACGTGTTCTGCTTTTATCCCAGTGTTATTGGTATACTTGTGCAATTGTCTGGCTTCTAGTTTGAACTCTGATACTAATTCCCTGTGTGACCTTGGGGCAAGTGCCTTTCCCTTTGTGGATCTCAGTTGCCTTAACTACACAAATGAGATGCAGAGGAAGGGAAGAAGGAGGAAGCCAGGCAGGCAGAGGGAGCACTGAGTCTGTGGGAAATCCTCAGGGCTGGGTTTACTTAACAACATTAAGACTTTCGTCATGTTCACCATATAAGCTTCACTTAGGGGTCCAATTAGGAAAACAGAGGAGAAAACCATGTAGTTTGGTTTGACTTTTAAATGCATCTTGTTTTTACATTTCCATTTCCTGCAAGTCCCTCACCTTCTTGACCCAATCTTCCCTTATCAGTTCAGATGCAGAGAAGGATTGTGCTCAGTACAGAATAAATGCCCAGTACCCTAGTACATTTCACATGTCTTTTTATTTGGAATCTATCTGATCTGTTTATCGTTCTCAGAGCTGGAATCTTCTTCAGGAACTTTCTAGACATATAAGGCTTTAAAGCATCAAAGGACAGAAATAGCACACTTCCTCCCCCAGCCCCTCCTCACTCCACCAGTCCAGTGCTAACACATCCCTGGGTGACATTCCCTGAGGATAATGACCTGACTGTGGCTTGTGTTATCTCACCCTTTCCCCTTCAATCCACATTGGCTCCAGGCCCAATATCCATTACAGAGGCCTGGATCTGTTTCACTAATTAGAAAGCTGAATCCAACATATTCCTGAAAAATAGTCAACCTTCTGCAAAAATAATTTGTGCATTTTAGTCTCAGCCACAGCACATTCTTCCTTCTTTCCAAGCCGTAAGTGTCCCTATCTGAACCTAGGATTTGCCACATGGCTGTTTGTCTCTCCTTGTATTCCTTCAAGGCAGCCCCTCCCACCCCAGCCAGCTCTGCCTTGTCTTCGTGGCATCTCCCCTGCCTTCCGGCAACTTCCCTCACTGGTCTGGCTCTGCAGATCCTGTCTGGTTTTGCTCTTCAGAGATTTGGAGGGTGCAACCTTGTCCCTCCAGTTCTAAAGTGTGAACCCCCCTCAACTTCCTCCCCCAATACTTCAGCTGCTCCTCACAGGGCATGGCCTCCAACCTTCCCTGTGGGGGCTACTTCCTGGTGGCCCCTCAGACCTGCCACAGCTTTCCAGTGTGGTCTGAGGACTGGGACTCACTCTGTCATGGACGTGCTGTCTCTATCAGCAAGGCCTGTTAAAGACTGGCCAATCAATCATTAAGTCAATCAACCCTGGAGTGCCACAGCAGTGCCCTGGGGGTGCTTGGCCGGCTGAGTGTGTTAGTGGAGGAAGGGGGGCTGGGACTCGCACAGTGGCTGGGGAAACCTGAGGAAAGGGTGAGCAGCAAGGTGTCAAGATGCAAATGAAGAGCTAAATTTTGTAAGAGTGGTGAGTGTTCTAACCATAATAGGGTGGCAAAAGAGTCCACAGCAACGTAGCTTAAGGGAAAGAACCACGTAAACTGGGTCCAAGCAGTTACACTTGAACACTCTGCTTCTGTGGAGAGTAGGGATTTCATACAGGGGACTGAGGCTGACAGAACGGTCAGAAGGAGCAGAGGAAGAAGTAGGCCTTAGACCAGGACTGACTCCCGTTCTATGATGTGGCCCACTTGCCTAGGGACTCTCTGAGCCACCTCTGACACACTCTTACAGCCTCTAAAGAGCAGGGAGCCGAAGTCAAGGAGTGGCAGCTGCAGCTGTCAGTTCACTCCAGGAAGCTGAACGAGGCACAGACACTGCCTGACACAGAACATCTCACAGTTCTGCCATCTTGCCAGTGACATCCTACAGCGCAGAACCATACCCTCTGACTTATTCCCAACTTCCACTTTGGCAGAAGTACTGCTAATTGGCACCTAGTTCACCTCCAGAACTCTTAACTGCCGAGAGGTTGGGAAACGCAGCTGTTAGCTTTGGGACCTCTCCACCCGGAGTGCGCAGTGCGGGTGGAGTGTCAGTGGTCCATCTTGGCATCCTGTTAGTCTATCGCAACAAGATGGAGACAATCAAATGTCCAACAGTTTACGCCTACAAGGAATTCTATGCCACCTTGGAGAGAATGATGTCGTAATTAGTAATATCATCCTTTTCTGTGTTTTCCAAGGGTTTTCCACTGTGTATATATATTCTTAGGACAAAACCTGGATTTTTGAAAGTACACAAATATAAAATCTTCTTAAAGGAACTGGGGAAAAGAGTGGAGAAAGTGGGAGACACTCGGAAATGAGCGAGGTGAGCCAGAGAAGGGGTTAACAAGAGATTCTAGGATGTCAATGTGTCTCCTGCGGAGTGGGGTGGAGACTTGCCAAGTGCAGCTAGGGGCCACCTGGGAGGGCCTTCCTGTGTGACCTGGGGAAGCCCCTGGCTCTCTCTGGGTTTCAGTTTCCCCACCGAAATACAGAGTCTTAGGACCCCAGATCCGAGCAGCGTGGCCACTGAGCATGCGGAGGGAGGGGAGCCAGAGCAGTGCGGACTGTCGCCGGGGGAGGGGTAAGGTCAGGAAACGGGGGCTCAGGGACCCGGCAGACGCCCGGCCGCCAGCCCCTGGAGGGAGGAGCTGCTGCGGAGGTGGCACCCCAGGCGCAGGCGGAGGCAGAGGCGGGGTGCAGGAGGCGGGGCGTGGGAGCCCTGGGTGGGCCGCTGCCCTGGACCAGGGAGAGACCGAACCTGAGCCTGAACCCGAGCCCCAGCCGAACTTGCCACAGGTAACTAGCACCTGTCCCCCTGGCTCCTGGTGGCTAGGCTGTTCCCCTCTGAGCCAGGCTTCCCCATCTGGGGGCTGGCCTTTCCGCAGGGTGCCTAGGACACCCTCCAAGCCCCCTTTCCCCACCCCAGCCTCCTACCCCCGCCAGGATACAGACCCCCAAACCTAAACACCCCTGCCTGCCCAGCCCACTTCTGAGACTTACGCCCTTTGCCCGCCCAAGGGGTGGGCGCCTCTGGTCCCGCCTAGGGAGGAGGTCCAGGCCTTCCCTCATTGTGCTAATACAGGGTGAACTGTAAAAAAGGCCCATACACGGGAGGAAATGCAAAGCGGTGTGTCCTCGGTGAGTCCCTGAACCTCTCTGGTGCCCAGCCTTTTTCCAGAATGGAGTCATCATCCATCCTGATCAGGGGTTGCAAGGGAGGCTTTGAGAGTGTAAGGGGAGAAGACGGCCTGCAAATTGTAAAGCGTGGTGCACTGTGAGCCAGGTCTTCCTATCCCCAGACCACATGTAAGCCTGGAGAGCAGGAACAGTCTTGGTGTGGTGGGAAATATTTGCGCCCTTGGTCTGTAACCACCTCTCCTGCCTGCTCAGCCCTCCAGGTTCCTCCAGCCCGCTTTCCCCCACCTCCCCTCCCTCAGACCCCTCTCCCTCAGCCCATGGCCTGTTGGTAGCAAGGCCACTTCTGTCCCAGCATGTGGCAGAGCCTTGAGCAGAATGGAACCTGGGGGCACCCCTCAACTTCCCCTGGATGGGAGCTTTTCTGGTCAGTACTGGAGACCTCACTTCAGCCTTGCTTTCCTGAGGGAATGATTTGTTCCTCTCCCCAGGGCTGGTGAGGAGGGGTGGGGGGTATTGCAGAGGTGGAGGGGTGGGGGACAGGCAGGTGCAATTCCTTTTTGCTGCTGAGTGTGGCTAGGTTCATGTGAGACAGCAAAGGCTGAGGAACTTAATCCTGGCTGGAGAAAAGCTGCTTCATCTCGTAACTTTACATGCTTTAATTTCCATTTAATAAATCTTACATGCTGTTTAAATTTTATAGTAGTTGTTGTTTTTGAAGAGTCTATACTATTTTCAGAGCCCTACCTGAGAATAAACAGACCTCTTCCCAGCTGCCGCCTGACTGGTCGCACCTCTGGGAGAGCTGAGGTGGAGGGAGGCCTGTGCTGGGGCCAGGCTAGCTGATTTCTGATGTCCCAGGTGGGAGAGTCTGTCAGGCTTTTATATGCAAGATCCCAATTGACCTTGCCCCATTTCACATCTGGGGGAGCTGAAGCACAGAGGGGAAGTGACTCAAGTGCTTCTTGCAGAACAACTGTCACTGAATCCCTCTGATTTCTACTCAAGTCTTGGGTCAATTCTTAAATGGCCTTTGTGGAAGTTTCTGCGTTTCCTCAGAGTGTCATTCAGTAACTCTCTGTTGAGCAGCTGCTCTGTAGCAGCCATAATTCTAGACTTAGGGTCATGGAAAAAAACAATCCCTGTCCTCCTGGAGCTGACATTTTTTTTTTGGAGGAAGACAGACAATAAACATGGAAGCCTATAATGACAGGGTTTGGGGGTGAGATGGAGAGACTTCCAGCAGGGTGTGGGGATAGGGAGTGCTGGGTGGGAATAATTACGGTTTAATAGGCCTTGCTGAGGAGATGTTATTTGAGCAAAGGCCCAGCAGAGGTGAGCAAGCAGTGAGGTGGAGCATGACAGAGCATGATCAGGGAGTTCTCCAGGGCCCTCACTCCCCTTACAATCCATGCCTTCAGGGATAAGGCTTCTTTTTGCTGGAATCTTGGGAGGTCTGGCCTGGTGGGCCTCTGGGCATCTCCTTGCCTCTGTCTCCTGTTCACTGTGAGTGCTCTCTCTCCTCTGCAGAGTATCAGCATGCTGCGCCGCCTGGTGCCCCGGCTGCTTCACCTCCATGGCAGGACGGCCACATACTCCTCTGCAGCAGCCCTGCCAAACCCCATCCCGAACCCAGACATCCGCTACAATCAGCTGTTCATCAACAACGAGTGGCAAGATGCCGTCAGCAAGAAGACCTTCCCAACGGTCAACCCGTCCACTGGGGAGGTCATCGGCCATGTGGCCGAAGGGGACCGAGCTGATGTGGATCGGGCTGTGAAAGCTGCCCGGGAGGCCTTCCGCCTGGGGTCCCCGTGGCGCCGAATGGATGCCTCTGAGCGGGGCCGGCTGTTGAACCGCCTGGCTGACCTAGTGGAGCGGGATCGTGTATACTTGGCCTCCCTGGAGACCTTGGACAATGGGAAGCCTTTCCAAGAGTCTTATGTCTTAGACCTGGATGAGGTCATCAAGGTGTACCGCTACTTTGCTGGCTGGGCTGACAAGTGGCATGGCAAGACCATCCCCATGGATGGTGAGCATTTCTGCTTCACCCGGCATGAGCCGGTTGGTGTCTGTGGCCAGATAATCCCGTGGAACTTCCCCTTGGTCATGCAGGGCTGGAAGCTCGCCCCGGCACTTGCCACAGGCAACACTGTGGTCATGAAGGTGGCGGAGCAGACCCCCCTTTCTGCCCTGTACTTGGCCTCCCTCATCAAGGAGGCAGGCTTCCCCCCAGGGGTGGTGAACATCATCACGGGCTATGGCCCAACTGCAGGAGCAGCCATTGCCCAGCACATGGACATTGACAAAGTTGCCTTCACCGGCTCCACTGAAGTGGGCCACTTGATCCAGAAGGCCGCTGGCGACTCCAACCTCAAGAGAGTCACCTTGGAGCTTGGAGGCAAGAGCCCCAGCATTGTGTTGGCTGACGCTGACATGGGCCACGCCGTGGAACAGTGCCACGAAGCCCTCTTCTTCAACATGGGCCAGTGCTGCTGTGCTGGGTCCCGGACCTTTGTTGAAGAATCCATCTATGATGAGTTTCTTGAGAGAACCGTGGAGAAAGCTAAGCAGAGGAAAGTAGGGAATCCCTTTCAGCTGGACACCCAGCAGGGCCCACAGGTGGACAAAGAACAGTTTGAAAAAATCCTTGGGTATATCCAGCTTGGCCAGAAAGAAGGGGCAAAACTTCTCTGTGGCGGGGAGCGTTTTGGGGAGCGTGGTTTCTTCATCAAGCCTACAGTCTTTGGTGGTGTGCAGGATGACATGAGGATTGCCAAAGAGGAGATCTTCGGGCCCGTGCAGCCTCTGTTCAAGTTCAAGAAGATTGAGGAGGTGATTGAGAGGGCCAACAACACCAGGTATGGCTTGGCCGCTGCTGTGTTCACCAGGGACCTGGACAAGGCTATGTACTTCACCCAGGCACTCCAAGCTGGGACTGTATGGGTAAACACCTATAATATTGTCACCTGCCACACACCATTTGGAGGCTTTAAGGAATCTGGCAATGGGAGGGAACTGGGGGAGGATGGTCTTAAGGCCTATACAGAGGTGAAGACGGTCACCGTCAAGGTTCCTCAGAAGAACTCCTAAGAATAGCTGGTGCAGAAGCCCAACCTCAGTCTGGGGATTCCACAACCACCTAGATCAATTCCACAACCACTTTCTTTGACCATGGATCCCTTTTATTTCTTCTAAATGAATTCTTAGCAGGAACCCCAACAAATAAAGTAATTCAATCAGAGCTGTTCTATTTGAAGCAGGGAAGAAGGCTGGGCTCAAAGTCCTACCCACCTGCTCCCCAGCCTTAGCCCTCTTGCTGGCCTGTCAGTTGCTTCCATGGAACTTTAGGAGTCTCTGGAAGACAGATTAAAAACCAGGGATCTAAACAATAGTTTTTAGTTCTTCCTACTGATCCAAGGACTTTCCATTGGGCGAACTTGATGGTTGAGCAGCTGGACTCAACTCAGAAGACTGGAAGGCATCAGGAGTTTTGAACTAGGTGGACACCAAATCCGGGCCCCATTCTTCATTGACTTACTCTGAAAACCCGGGTGCTTTTTCTTTTCTAAGTACCAGCCTGGCTGTTTTCTTTGTAGCCCTTCATTTTACTACTGATTTTCCTTAACTTGAAAGAAGAAGTAGGCAAAGAATATGTTTACATGATCATACCTTTAAATAAAACCTAGACACCCCAAATGTCCATCAACTGATAATTGGATAAAATATTCCATGGAATGTATTTCCAGTGGACTATTCAGCCATAAAAAGGAATGAAGTACTGACACACATCGCATGAGGGAACCTTGAAAACATTCTAAGTGAAAGAATGTTTCAGCCAGACATACCAGGCCTACAGATTGTGTGATTCCATTTTTTATGACATCTCCAGACTAGGTAAATCCATAGAGACAGAAAGTAGATGAGTGGTTGCCAGGGGCTGGGAGAGGAACTGCTAATGAGTGTGGGATTTCTTCCTGGGAGTTTTTGAAAATGTTCTGGAATTGAACAGTGGTGATGGTCGCATAGCTTTGTGACTACACTAAAAACTATGGAATTGTTTAATCATGGTATGTGAATTAAGTTCATTTAAAAGCAAAAATAAACTCATTCATTATGTTAGTAAGTCCATTTTGTCTCCACCTCTTGCTGCTGAACATTTTACAGAGTGTTGGGAATGGAAGGGACCCAGGTAGTGTCACAATCCCAAGCCAGGTGCAAAAGCCCCCTCTACAATGTTTCTGTTTTTGTTTTCTCTTGGCTGGGTAACAAGGTGCAACTTTAAGACCCACAGAAGAAACTCGGATTCCTGCCCAGAGTAAGTCCATTTCATTTTGAAACTTCCCCTGGCATTCCCTTCTCACCCCTCCTCCCACCAAACCCTACCCAGCGTCAGCCATCCTGACATGCTGGGGGTTTCTTGAGTTT